CATCACTCCTATTTGTCACGCACACAATATAAGAACCGATTTTATATTTTCTCCTACAAAATACCTTTCTCATGGGATCGATATCTTTATACTATAACTTGACACGGTTGTGCACTTGCAACATTTTTTGGTACATGTTTATGCCGCATCAGATAACCAAAAGAACTAAATTTGTATATCTTGCTTGTGTTGCAACTTTGTTTATCTTGTAGGAATTTCTAACCATCCTTTGAGTTGACGAAGAATTTGAAGCCTTTCAAATTTGATCTACTCCATTATCTTTCTCACTCTCAGAACTAGAGCTCAGACCCATGTTTGCTTTGATTTTTAATTTTTCTCTTTTTGCTTTCAAAGGTAACGACTTCTTCTTGTAGTTGTTTTCTAAATCATCTTCTCTTTCTTTCAAACACACTTCATATATAAGAAGATTTTCTACGAGATTCTGAAGTGTTAGTTCAAAAAAAATTTATAGTCTTCAATGACCATTACCTTTGGTTTTTAATCTTTTAAAAGTGAGTGAAGAACTTTTCTCACAAGTTATTTAATCCCCTACTCTCTTTCTAATGCCTTTGATCTATTTACTTTATTTGTCAATCATTTGATCATTTATTGAATGCTCTTTGAAGATTCCATTATGAAGTTTTCATAATTGCTACAAAGCATAGCAAGTTTGGCCTCCTTCACCAGTATTGTCCCTTTATGTGTAACCTTTAGAGTTTTGCAAAGTTTCTATGTAGTAGAACAAGTTGACACATGGTTAAATTCTTCGATAATTAATGAATAATAAAGAGCATTCCTTACCTTAGCATTTTAAGAATGACGCTTTTTATCACGTGGGGTCCATTTATCTCCAACTATAATTAAGGTGGTTTCACCAGTGGTAATAGTTGGTTCACTATAGCTAGTTCTATGATATTCCTGACCACAAAATTAGTGGACAATAAGAAGAATTTCATGAACACATTCCAATAGGTGTCGTTTGACCTATTGAAAGGCAGAGTCAATTAGTTGTGTGTCCCTCAAGGAAAGCCATTGCAGCGGTCAGACTAGACATCTCTACTTTCAATTGTAAAGCTTAAAAATGAGTAACTAAGCTTAGATATCACTTGTTGGATCTATGATGTAAGTCTATAGGGGGATGAATAGGGTTGGCATCACAAGATACCTAGTGGAAATAAAATAATTAATCAACAATGCAAATCACATAAAATAATCACAGTAAGAACATAGATGAATTTATAGTGGTTCGAATAAACAATTCAACATCTATTCCTCCTTCTCACGCAGGGGGCTTCCTCACCATTTGAAAGTTTTTTGAATCGCACATCCTATTCAGTAAGCTTATAAGACTAAAACCCTACTTCCACCCAAAGTAGTTATCTAACGTAAACTCTTTACACATGAGTGTCCCTAGCTGTAGCAAGTGACTGATCCCTCAATTAACCCTAGCTTGAGTGCGATGTAAACCCTTAATTCACCCCGACTTGAGTATGTTATAAAAACAAGTTTAAACCAATAAAATAAATCATAGTTAAGCACAAATCAAAAATATCTTACATCCTTCTATATTGAGATCATTCTCTAAAATATTGAAATGTAGATCTGAAAGAATAAAGATGAAATTTAGATCGAAGCGCAACTCTTCTTGCTGTTGATTAATCATATGATGATGAAGATGGTGAGTGAGCGATCAATGAGGCTTCGAGGGACCGAAAAGCCTCTCCTTTGATGATGTCTCTCTCTCTCTCTCTCTCTCTCTCTCTCTCTCTCTCTCTCTCTCTCTCTCTATTTCATTTTCTCCTAAGATTAGCTCAAGAAAGAATCTTGCAGAATGTAGCAGAAGATTGGAAGATAACATGCGATGAATGGCTGAGATTGAAGCTTAAAAATCTAGAATTAGACTTTTAACCATAGATGGTAACTCTCAACCATCGATAGTGACATAGTGGCCATCGATGATTGATGACCCATAGATGATCTAAACCTCTCTAGACTTTTACACCATCAGTGGTCCATAGCACCATTGATGGTCCATTGAGCACCATCGATAGTCAATGTGGAACCGTCAGTAGTTCACTTGTTGAAATTAGTTTTCGAGTTGATTTTTGATTCTTTTTGTCTCATTCTTGTTCTATATCTTTATACTCTTGTACTAGATCATCTCAGACACAAGTTAGACTTAAATGAATGCTTGTTATTACTCAAAGAAGATATATGTTATGGACAACATCTTAACATTTGTTATCTTCTTCTGCACTCTTGCAGTACAAACGATTTATTATCACAAGCAAAAACTATTCCTTAGTGTGAAGACAAGCATCCCACGTAGACAGATTACTTTAGACTGATGGTTTGGTTCAGACACACATAAAATCTAGCTCTTAAATCTTAACAGTATACACACACCGTTAATTGAATACTGGTCATTTCTTATGCGACCAAATATCATAACCATATAAATGAAAAATGATCAAGAGAAATCATTAATTATTTTTTCATATGTTCATGACAATGGAAAGGTTGGATAAGATTTACAAAAGTTGAAGCCACATAGCAATTTTCACTTACCACATTACCTTCCTCTCAAGTACAAGTCTTCTCAAAACACTCCGACTGGCATCTTTGCTAGTCTAGATTACAAAAGAGGAGGGGAGGGGAGGGGAGGGGAGGGGAGAATGATAAGATTTCTCATCCTTGATTCATACCATTGTTAGTCGCATCTAGTTGCACATGACAAGTAGAAACAAGAATAATAGTAGATATAACATAGGCACTAATTAATGGCACTATGGCAGCTAGCCTTCACGAGTCGGAGCTTGACATGCACGTTGGTGACTGAGACGTTAGAATAGGACGTTTTGGATTTCATCCAACCATTATTTGTGTGATCATGCATCGTGCTAAATATTTAACCAAACGCACGTTTATCATTCTCTATATAAAAAGAGGCTACAGCCCAGCTGTGTGTATAGCTACGTACGTGCTTCTTTGTTTGTGGAGTGACTAGTGTCCTACTTATCTAAGGAATGGACAAAAATGCCATTTGAATTGAGTTGGTGGCCCTAAGCTTGTTTTCAGTATTAATTTAGCATTAAAGTAGATTAAATCTTTTTTTGAAGTTTGTTGGAGAATAGTTTTGTTGACGAATTTGTAGGAATGTAAATACATACTGTACATCTGTAATTATATTGGCAATCATGTATAAATGGATACTAATACAAATGTGATTTGTATTATTGATGAACTATGATGGCTATTCATATTTTCGTATTGAATAAACAATTAACAAGTTAAACCTAGGTTCTTGTTTTCAATATTGATCTTTTAATCTTTAATATTTTGAAATTAGTCAAATTATTGAAACATGCCAAACGGAATGGACCATATCTATGATGTCTCATTTGTTTCGTATCAATCAAGTAAAATTGATCCACGATATGATGCCGTATTGGTACAGTTAAAGCCAAAAAATAATAATGGTTTAAAATTTTGGTTAAAAGATACATCAAATACATCGTCATTTTTAGAATAAAAAATATAATAATTTATAATAAAAAATCATTTAAATCATCTACCACATCATTAAAATACAAAATGATCTAAAATTAAATTGGAGGAGTACTTTTAGATTTAAGAAGGATGTTAGAAGTTTAGATTCTAAATAAGAGGAAGCAAACTTTAGGTTTATAGACTAAAAAGTAGTTGGGGTTAAAACTTTTGGTTTATGAGCAAAAAAAAAATCTACAGAAAAAAATAAGTTACATTGTTATATTAAAAATAACTAAAAGTAGACCAAATAACTAAACACTTAGAACAAAAAAATAGCAAGTTACAGAGAATATAATAAGTTACACATGTAATAACTTACAACATATATCAAGCTGTTGAAATACGAGATGACTTCAAAATTAATTCAGTGAAGTGTATTTATTCTATGGGCAGTTTCGGAGGTGAGTGAGTTATAAATAAATGGAGATAAAATGTTGTAAAACCCCGTAAATTAGAATATATTGTTAAAAATAATATTAAATGATTTTTATCATGTTTGATATTATTCTGGGATGAATGAGTATGGTTGTAATCGATTTGAGATCAATTAAGTACATATATACATGTTTAATAGAGTGAACATGCACGAACACAAGAAATCAGTTGACAGAATACACCTCTGGTTGGTCGACCGATGGCAAGCCATCAGTCAACCGATAAGCACTTATCAGTCGACTGATGGCAAGCCATCAGTCGACCGACGGGTGCATAGTCTAGACAGTTTGAGTTTCGGGTCGGTTTCGTTTTGGTTTGGCCCGTATGTGTATATAAGTATATATATACGATATTTCTCCTACTTTCCTTCATCTTAGAACCTACTTTGGTGAATTTTGAAGAGCCCTGTGAGGCAAAATCAAGAGGAGGGCGAGATCGTGGGCTTTTGTTGAAGGAGGAACGTGTCTCTCGCGTGTTTGAGGAGTTTAGTCATCTCCTCCAAACTCATCCGCTATTTTATTTGATTTTTATTGGACTTTTGAAACCTATTTATAAGTAAAGATTGCACCTTTATTTTGTATTCTGTAAAGATTTGATCTTTCTGTTTTAAAATGGTATAAAACGGATTCCTTAATTTAATTTCAAGTTCTGAGATTGATCTAACATGAGCTTTTTTTTGGTCAATGAAGAGCTTTTTTATTCATCCACCAAAATTGGAGTGAAAGTACATCATGATATACAGTTCAGTAATGAACTGAAAAAAAAACAGGGCCTAAAAACAAGAAACAAAGCATCTATAACAACATAAACCACTGTTTATTTTCCTCTGAAATTTGACTGTTAAGGACCATGATCATAATGTCGAATTTTATCTTCTTAGTAAGCTAATCAATGCTCTTAGTCTTCAAGTTGAAGATCCTATCATTCCTCTCCCTCCATATTCTGTAAACTGTATTCGCAAGAGCCAATCTCTTCAAACCTTGTTTAAACCCTTTCCCTTTCAATCAACAGTTATATCAATCCAACATTACATATCCAATCACAAGCCTTCCATTTAAATTTGAGCCAATCCATGATGTTATTCCATACCCCATTAGAGCAGAGACAATCAAAGAAAAGATGATTTCTTGTTTCCTGTGTAGTGCTTGAACATAAACATCAATGGCTTGATTGAATAACACCCCTCCTTAGTTGCTTATCTTTGGTTAGCAGCATGTTTAAAATAGTTAACCACAAAATAAAGCTCTGTTTAGGATAAATCAAGGAGTCCCAGACTGTCAAATACCTGTTTACATTGCCAGCAACAAGAGATATGGCTGAGTATAGCTTCGACAACTGGATTTTTGAATTTTTGCAACATGAACTGATGTAACTCTTCAGATTTTCTATGCCTCCACAGATAATAATTGCTTTGTCCCTGGCTTTGAGCAATTGTTTCCACATCCAAGAATCACCAACTTTCATGCTGACATGCCAGATTGTTGTATTTTTCAGATATTTTCTGTGTATCCACTTAATCCACAGCCATTCTTTGTTAACATGTATATACCAAATAGTTTTTAAAGCTAAAACCAAGTTCCAAGTTTTTGCAGAAAAAATTCCCAAACCACCACACTTCTTCTCCTTACAAATTTTGTCCCAAGCAACTAGGGGCAATCTGTAAACCTGATCAAATTTACCCCATAAGAAATCTCTGCATAAGTCATCTATTTTTTGGAAAACTTTAGAAGGCAAAATGTAATTAGAAGTCCAATATAATTGAATCCCAGCACCACACTTTTAATGATCTGAAGCCTACCAGCAAAAGTCAGTTTTTGATTTTTCAGGCAGAACTGGAATTGATTAGTAATCTTCTTAAAAAGGGGAGTGCAATCAATGTAGGATAGCCTCTTGCATATTAAAGGTACACCAAGATACTTAATTAGCAGGGAACCCTCATGAAATCCGAGGCAACTGTTGATAGATGCTTTAACATCTTCTTCAATGCCACCATAGAAAATAGCATACTTAGAAGGGTTGGCTTCCAATCCAGAAATTTCACCAAAGTCCTTTACACACTGATATAGTTTTTGGATAGAGTATATGTCTCCTCTACTTAATAGAAGAAGGTCATCAGCAAAAGCAAGGTGTGTAATTTTCAACTTTCCACACAGAGGATGAAATTTGAAATAGAAGAAGGTCATCAGCAAAAGCAAGGTGTGTAATTTTCAACTTTCCACACAGAGGATGAAATTTGAAATCTTTGTCATACTTTAGCATATGCAAGGTGTGTAATTTTCAACTTTCCACACAGAGGATGAAATTTGAAATCTTTGTCATACTTTAGCATATCTATATTCCTGGTAAGATACTCCATGCCAATAATGAACAAATATGGAGATAAAAGATCCCCTTGTCTTAAACCCCTTGCACCCTTGAAATACCCCATGGAGAGAACCATTCATGGATATAGAAAATTTGGTGGATGAAATACATGCCATAATCCATTTGATGAATACTGCTGAGAACCCTAAACCTTTAAGCATGCTTTGCAGAAAAGACCAGCTAATTGTGTCGAAGGCTTTTCTTATATCAATGTTTATCATAGCTCTCAGAGTTAAGTGTTTTCTACCATAGTTCTTTACCAATTCATGTGCTAACAAAATATTATTGTTAATTTGCCTACCTTTGACAAATGAACATTGAGCTTCACTAATTATTGAACCAATGACAGATTGCAGCCTATTAGCAAGGATTTTTGAAATGAACTTATATAAACAGTTACAGCAAGAAATTGGCCTAAAGTCAGCAGGGGATTGAGGGCATTGTATCTTGGGAATGAGTGAGATAGAGGAGGAATTAATAGCTCCCAACAGTTTTCTAGTTTTAAAGAATTCCTGAATAGTAGAGGTTCCTGAATAGTAGAGCTTAATTTCTTCATTTGTAACTGAACAAGATAGACTAACAACTTGATATTCAGTGAGACAAGGACCACTTTGAATTATGCTTAAAACTGGTAAAGAGGTGGATATTTCTGTGCCCATCAAGTTCTTATAATAGGAGATGAATTCTTGGGCGATTTCCTCTCCTTCTGTAATTTTTACCCCGCTATTAGTAATGAGTGACATTACTCTATTATGGTGACTGTTTTTCTTAATAGCAGAGAGGAAGAAACTTGTGCATCTATCACCCTTGAGGCTCCATGCTATTCTTGATTTTTGTTGGTAAAAGGATAGTTCACATTCAAGAAGCTTGTTATAGGAGACAATACTACTCTTCTCATGTGCTATAAGATCAGCATTGAGAGGATCAAGTTGAAGTGAATATTGCACATTCTCCAGTTCCTTTTTGGTTCTAAGAACCTGCTCACTTATATTGTGAAAATCCCTTTTGTTCAGATCCTTCAAAGCATTCTTCAGGAGTTTCAGCTTTGACCAAATTTTATACATTGTGTGGCCCTCAATAGGTGACTGCCATATAGATGATACAACGGATAGATAATTTTCATGTTTAGTCCATATTTTGTAGAACTTGAAAGTCTTCTTCCCTTGATCTCTATTCTCATAGATTGATACCAAAGCAGGTGAGTGATCAGAGAAGCTAGGAGATAAGAATTCTACATGACTTGCATTGTATTTTTGCAACCAGGAATCATTTATAAGAACTCTGTCTAACCTACTCCAAACTCTAGAGGTAGGGTTTTAAGAGTTTAATTGTTTCCATGATGATTCTTATAAATATGATTGTGCTAGGGTTTTAAGAGTTCCCTCAAACTTGATATTTATGTTTCATGTAGACAACTAAACCCTAATCACAGTAAACAAGTTTTAATATATGAGTTTTATTTATAAAAATATTGAATTTAATGTATTATAGACGAAAACCTGTAACATAAACCCATTACAAGTTTTTGCTCTAGTCGGTTGACCGATCAAAAATCGGTCGACCAATCAGTTCTTAGGGAGTTGGATTTTACCTCTGGTTGGTCGACCGACCATAGGCATCGGTCAATCGATCAGGGTTGTTTTTGGAGTTTACGTTACGCCAGTCGACCGTGGGGATGTTTCGGTCGACCGATAGGAGTTGTTTTGCATATATTGGTTCCTCATGTGCGTTTGATCCGGACACGAAGTATGAGTCGTGCGTCGATACACATGCGTAGTATATATATATATATGAGATTAATGGGTATCCTTGTCATAGGAGGGGATTTCCTCCTATGACGCCTCTAAAATCACATGATTGAGCGACATTATGGATGATCCGTTCCGTTGAACTTGATCTACATATTCTAAAACCCCAACACACCAAGTTTGGGGTGAACCCGTCTTCGTTTGACCCTCCATTGAGCCATGTGAAAAGTTCTATTAATTCAAAACCGTTAAAATTGATACGAGTGGATGAAGGGTCCACTACAACAAAACTGTTTTTTTATAGCGTTGAATGATAGCGTTTATATTATAAGTGCTATAGATCGTATATGCCTTATTTTTTGATAGAGTTTGGAAATTTTTAAACGCTATGAGTAATAGTAGGCAATTTTTTTTGTTCCGACGGCTTGAAAACTTAAGCGCGAGACTGAAAATTAAAACACGCTTCATTCGTCTCCAACCCCCCCAATTTCATTGGTCCCGCCCCGAGAAAAAAAAACCCTAACCCCAAAAAATTCCGCTGCCCTTAATCTTCTCCCTCAGACGCCCCACTCTCCCTCTCTCGTCTATCTCTCCTCTCAGATCTCTCTATCCGAGATCGACCCGATGGGAAGTACATCGAGAGGAGCTCGATGTACTTCATGGCGACGAGCTCATTTGTCTCCTTGTTCCTCATCAGCCTCGCCACCCCGAAGTTCACCGATCCGATGTCCCGATCTTTACAATTTTCTTGATTTTTTTCAAAATTTTCTGAGTTTTCTTGGGTTTTTTTGGAGCAGATCTTAGCAAGAACCCTGTGGATGGATTCTCGGCTGGCCTGGTCGACGATACCAATATCTTCGAGTTGAGCGTCACGATCATTGGGCCGTCCGATACGCTATAGTGAGTGATTCCTTTCGGATTGCGATCTTTTCCGTTGAAATTCGATTGGATCTCGTGGTTTTGGCAATCTAGGGTTGTTTGCTGACGATAAAGTTAGGGTTTTGGTTGAGTTGTTTGGATTCAAGCTGTTCCTTATCTGTTTTGATGTGTCTTTCCCTTTGAAAATGCTGATGAAAATGGAGCGCGGTAGGGTTTCAGCTCCAGGAAGTTTCGACTCTTTGCCGATTGCTGGCTATTGAAGGAAAGGTTCAAATTTTACTTCTCTCCATTTGTTTAAGGAAACCAAGGATTGACATTACTTATAGGGGATTATCTTTGAAATCGTGATGTTATAGATAATTGGCATAGGTCCTTAGAGGGAAAATCCTGAAGGAATTAAGCAAAAAATGGGAAAATTGACAGATCCAATTACATTGTATCAAATCATTTCTGACTGCTACGTGATAAGAGAGAAGAAGAAATTGACAGATGTACGTATTAACTTAATCTTTGATTGTTTACGCTAAATATGTAGCTAACTTAATTCGGGTTAATGTTCTAACTAATATTGGTGATAAAATGGTAAATGTTAGTTAGAATCCCTGATTTAGAAATTATATTTTTAATATTTCCTTGTGACGGTTGAGTTCTGAAAACAATTCACGTTGAAAAGCTAATCAAGACCACAATTGCCAGGCTGTTACTAAATGTTATCGAGGTAAGGAAGCGCATAACACTGTTTATTTATTCTGTTTCTTGATACTAATTTCTTTCGCTTTAACGTATAATTCTTTACATTAGTTCGTAAAAAAGAAGATGGATTCATTTCTGATTCTTTGTTGAGTTTTTCTCCCCAATTTAAGACAGTCTGATTGCTGAGTTAAACTGGTGGACTTTGGATTAAGACATGTTACATTGCTATTTTTTTTTATTATAATCCCCAAAATCTAAATGTTTAGATTTGTGGAGTTGTTTCATTGCATAGGTATAAGGTTTAAGGTGAAAGCAAGTCTAAGTAGAACAGTTCAGAATTTTTGAATTAATCCAATCATTTCATCACAATCTTTTTGCTTGTTTCGAAAATGTTGTAATATTTTAGCAATTATGCAGTTTGTCTAAATGGCTCCTTAGTTATACACTTACACTTACATAGCTTCATACGTTGAGAGGTTAATGACATTTTATTCCCAAGATTTTTATCAATATGCAAGCTGAAGAGGAATATCAGTCATTTCTGCGTTTGATTCCCTTTTCAATATTTAGAAATTTTTAGATAAATGCATATATACACTGCTTTGTCGGTGTGCAAAGCATTACAACTGTATATGACTTGGAGGTGGCAATATGCAAGAATGAGGGTATTGAACGGTTTGAAGAGCTTGGCATGGGTCCTCTATCTTGCTACCCTCTTGTGCAACATTACTTCTTTGTTGGTTCAGATTCTGTTGATATTTTCAAAATATCAGCTGAGGACGTTATAGCTTCCTTGCATAGCTTCTTGATGCAGTGCAAGAGGAAAACAGTGTCAGCAGAGGAGTTGTTAGACTTTCTTGCAGAGCAGAAGTCACTTCCACATAAACAAAAGCTTGGTGTGCGGATTCAGAACTTGGGGTATGTGCTCCTCCTTTGTGCATGGTTTGGAATAGTGGTCCATGTAGCTTCTTTGCTCTTCACACACACTACACACTCCATGGGATATGGCAAGTTGCGAAGACACACTTTTATCATCATATCATATTTCAGATGGAACAAACATGCTGCCTACAAACTTACATTTGTAAACCTGAAAATAGTTGTAATTTGGCTGTTCTTTTCTCTACTTGCTCAGCACACTTTCTTTTATGCAGAAGTAGGTATACTTCATTCTCTCTCATTTACCATATGTGTACACTAACACATGTGGCTAACTTTCTATCTCTAGGTTTATTTTATCCATTTATATGGATTCATACTGTGGAAGTAGGCTATGCACCTTACTTCTTATTATGCTTTTATAGGTAGAATTAAACATTCACCTGTCAGAGTAATTCAAAACCAGCAATATCCGTAATTCCAAGTTTAAGAGTAGAAGTGCTCTTACACCATGTTTTTATAAAATGCCATGTTATGTGCACCAAGGGATCATAAATCTGTTAGCTGTGGAGTTCATCTCTGACTATACTGCAGTGTTTAATATATGGCATAATCCTTTACCTCTTTTGTTTACCTTAATGGATTTTGTTACTTAAAAGTATAATCCAATTTCCCATTTACTAGTTAAGTTATTTTGGTAGGTTGCATGTAGCGTACATCCGGCGAGGCGAGCAATCAGAAAAGACTATTCTCAATAAATCCCTGAAGGGTTTCAAACATAAGATGAAAGAAAGGTACTCTATAGAACTTCCATCTAGTACACAGATGCATTTAGAAAAGAAGATACTTAATGAGCGTTTTGATTCTATTTCTAACCGTGTTAAGATGTTTTCCTCTTCGTCCAATGGTTCTGGTGGTAAGCACACCCATTTTTATTATTCTTCTGATGACGAGTGTGAAGATTATGAGGACAATGATAACAGTGACCATGTAAATTCTTGTTCACATCAGATTTCATCTCATGATAATGGCAGTAGCCAAAATTATCCATAATCATCAGCAGCTGAAGAGATGAAAAGGCTTGGACTGATATCCAAAACCGGCGAAAAACCCCTAAAGGACAAACTAATGGATGTTTGGTGCAGGTCTTTCAGAAAAGGACAGACTAAAGGACAAACTAAGAAGAAGAAACGGAAGCGTCGAGAGAATCATGATAATACTATGAACAAATTTATGAGAAAGGAAGAAATGATCGACGTCAAAAGGCAATCGGATAGCATTAAAGAAATGATCGACTTCAAAAGGCAATCGGATAGCATTATTATTGTTGATGGTTACATAGAGGATTTCTTAACAACATGGAAAGAAGCTTGTCGAGAAATTTTTTTCAAAATTTTCTGAGTTTTCTTGGGTTTTTTTGGAGCAGATCTTAGCAAGAACCCTGTGGATGGATTCTCGGCTGGCTTGGTCGACGATGCCAATATCTTCGAGTGGAGCGTCACGATCATTGGGCCGTCCGATACGCTATAGTGAGTGATTCCTTTCGGATTGCGATCTTTTCCGTTGAAATTCGATTGGATCTCGTGGTTTTGGCAATCTAGGGTTGTTTGCTGACGATAAAGTTAGGGTTTTGGTTGAGTTGTTTGGATTCAAGCTGTTCCTTATCTGTTTTGATGTGTCTTTCCCTTTGAAAATGCTGATGAAAATGCTGCTGGATATTGAGGATGAGCCAGTGTGGCATTCTGCGGAGGCAGAGGATGAGGATGCAGAGGAGACGAGCAATCACAGTGTCGGACATGAGTGTTTGGATAGAATCTCAGTTGCATCGGAGTTGCTGCCGGCTTATATTGCAGCTCCCGAGTGGCAGAAACATCATGCTGCTTTGATTACACTTGCACAGATTGCAGAAGGTTGTTCAAAGGTAACTGGAAGTTTAAATTGATTATTGATTGAGAACTTGGTGCTTTTTTGCAAACATAGTATATAGTTTATGCTGTGTCTGTTATGTAGGTCATGATTAAGAATTTGGAGCAAGTGGTGCACATGGTCTTGAACTCATTTCAAGATCCACATCCAAGAGACCTGAAAAAGTTCATGATGGTTCTATTTTAGCGCAGCAGCACCACGATACTGTACGCGAATTGATGCACCACCGGCTTGATCATCCGTGCGAATTTGTGATGCTTTGATTTCATCATCTTCTGTTAGCAAACAAAAGTTCTTCATGGCTAATATATACTGACCTAGAATCTGTATTAGTACCCCTATGATTCTTTTTGCATAAGCCACTTCGATGTTTCCAAGGGAGAGACTTATCTTTTTTGATGAATTCTTCAGCTATTCTAGTTCACTTGGTTATTTGTGGAAGTCCTAGTTTTTTGAGAAAAAATAGGAATGTAATTACAATATAAGTCCAGGAATTAAGATTTATATTATGTTATAACAAACTTGAATGTGCATGCATCAGTTGTTCTAGTCCACAACTTGAATGTGCACGCATCAGTTGTTCTAGTCCACTCGGCCATTTGTAAAACTTAGTTACTTGAAAAAGATTAGAAATGTAATTATGATGCACATGCACGAGCTCCTATGATAGAAGTTCATGAAATAATTAGATTTATATTATGTTATAACAAACTTGAATATAATATAGTTGTGCACACTTAGATACATCTGTGTAATCATTTTATTTTTCATCTATTAAACCATTTTGCAAAATCTTGTATTTTCCTTTGTGAATTTACCAGGTACATTGATAGCAAACCAAATCACTGGCATCCTAATTACAGCGTTGTGGTCAAGGGCATCGAGGAAGTTAACAAGATGAGCTTGACATTATGTGTTAAGCATTTTTGTCTAGACTTGACACTATTATGGAGATTTCAACAGCACTATGAATATAATTGACTTGCTTGATAGGTAACTCTCTGCCTGTTTATCGATCTTTTAGGTTTCATGACAAATCTGTATCTTGCCAAACATCTTGTTTTTGGTCGGAAATCAAGTGGCAATTTGGTAATTTCTAGAGGCGGATATCGAGTGGATGTGTTATATTTCCTTCATATCAAGTGGACAAGCTTGGACATGTTTTTACTTTTTAGTGTTATCTATGTTGATTTTTGCAATTTGAAATGATGAACATAGGTGCATATCTTCCAGTTGATTCCACATCCACAATATGATCAGGTTCTTCAACCATATTTACATGCCTCATATTTGAACTTAAGGCCTCATGATACAGTATCAGGCACATTTTTATTTATTGGCATGTTAAAATTTTTGCCTTTCGAAATATTTTACTTGCTTGGCCTTGTCAATTCTAATATTTGGTTGCAAAATTACATTTCGAGTTAAGTTCTTCATGGCTAATATATACTGAGCTAGAATCTGTATTACTTGCTCCCCAAGATGGACCAGTTCTTTTCGAAATATTTTACTTGCTCCCCAAGATGGACCAGTTCTTTTCGAAATATTTTACTTGCTCCCCAAGATGGACCAGTTACAAAGTTGTTATGCTTTGAAAAGCTGGTAAGTTATACATCTTGCAATCGTGTGTTTTTACTTTATCATGTTTGTTATAGTTGTAATTTTGGTGGTGTTAATTTCTGTTTTTTGCAGCAGTACAAGTACTCAATTGCTGAAGATGATGAGCCTTCCAAGTCATATGTAATGCAGCAAATTTGGTTTCTGTTGTTCTGTGTACTATGGTTAATTTCTTGTACTCCATGTTGGACTATCCAAAGACTAGTATTTGTTTTTTGGCACATTTGTGTTGACTCTTCTTGTATGCTACAACTTGGTTATGTATCAGTTTGAATCTTTAAATGAAATATTTGCTTTTATGGTTGTCACAATTGGGTGTTATTTCTAGTTCAACCTCAAAGGTTTATAGGCACAACTGAAATGCTATAAGAAGTGCAAACAATTACTGAAATGCTATTAAAAGAAGAAAGACAACATTCACTGAAACGCCATTGTAGTAACTCAAACGCTATCAAATGTAAGACAATAGCAACGTTGAAATGCTATGAATGAAAACTAACTAATAGCGTTTTCAATCGCTATGAAAGATATTTGTCATAGCAATATAGAAACGCTATTGAATACTCATTTATAGCTACATAAAAACGCTATGGTTGGAAACTAACTAATAGCGTTTTCAACCGCTATGAAAGATATTTGTCATAGCAATATAGAAACGCTATTGAATACTCTTTTATAGCTACATAAAAACGCTATGGTTGGAAACTTTTTGATAGCGTTTGGGGAAACACTATGTAAAACCACAGACCTACTATAGCGGGTTCTGACACAGCGTTGATTAAAACGCTATGAAATAATACCATAGCGTTTTCCGACCGCTATGGTAGATTTCAGGTGTTGTAGTGGTCAAACGAAGACGGGTTCACCCCATACTTGGTGTGTTGGGGTTTTACAATATGTAGATCAAGTTCAACGGAACGGATCATCCATAATGTCGCTCAATCATGTGATTTTAGAGGCGTCAAATTCCCTCGGTATGCCCTGGCTTGAGTATGTACGTAAATGCTCATTGGTTAAATGGAATTTCATTTACCAAAAAAATGATTTTATCATCATCAAGGTATTTTGAAAAACCATTATTTATGAACTGCACGTACACACACAATTGCAGGTCAAAATACAGCACATAACACATCTAGGTTATGTTCATATACTTAAAGACTTCTCTAAGGCGTGGTACCCAATTGTATTTTTCGTAGTTCAAGTAAGAGATATTGAGACTACTCATAAATTATCTTACAGCTGCCACGTGTAAGCTGTATAAAGCAAAAATGTGTTTTTACCTGTTAAGTACTAAAATCTTGACTGAAGACATAACTTAAAATGAAATATGAAATAATGAAAACATACATGATGTAGCCCATTCATGATTGTATATAAATTTAATGCTTTAAAACTAGCTTGCTCAGTTTTTTGCCCTTTTTTCTTTTATTTCCTAGACAAGCAACAAAGAGAAAATGAAAATGAAAGAGAACGAGGCAGATAAGCAAACAGCAAAGGAGAAGGAAAGTATTTTAGGGAAGATAATGAAAAATCTCCTTGGCTACTACAAACACAGTAACTGTCATTAGTAATACTAGATCACTACATCTACATATCATATATGTACTATGACATTAATAATTATGGCATTTAATTTGGTGATTGTGGTATCTATGTAATTTGGATCGCTATGTGTACGGTATCTATGTGTTGTGCATTTAATTTGGTGCGCTGTGCATTTAATTTGTTGAGTGCGGTATCTATGTGTTGTGCGTCGGCGGAAGCGTGCTCGCGAACCAAACAACCGCACGAGTCGACGAACAAGAGAGAAGAACAACCAACGAGTGCAATTCTCAAAAGAACGGACAAAATCAATCACAAACAAAGAGGTTTACATGGTTCGGCAAATGCCTACATCCACGAGAAGATAATGTGGAGATTTTACTATATGGAGCAGAAATACAATGAGTTACAACTCTCTCAAACACTCAAAATAACTCTAACCAACAATCTCTCACTCTCTCACAATAATCTCCCTCTCAAAGTGCTCAAAAGACTCTTTTTCTCTCAACAAATCTCTTCTAAAACGTTCTATATATATATAGAAACCCTAACACCAAAACAGACTAGGAATCAAACAATTCTAAAACCAAAACCAAAACAGACTAGGAATCCTAATAATTCTAAAACCAAAACCAAAACAGACTAGGAATCATGTTTGACCCAATAACCTGCTATCCAATAATTCTCCACCTCGGCGAAGTGTTCCCAAAACTGAGCGGACACCAACAAGAGTACCAATGTGTCGTCTCTCTAAATTTGGCTACACCAATGTGGTTGCCTACGTACCCCCTCTCCCAAGGGATCAAGCTACCCGTATTTCATCTAAATGACCTCGAAAGGCCTCCACAAGCACAAATCCGTAACAAGTTTCTGCAATGATTAAACGTGTTGCTCAGGACCACCTTTGTGAGCATATCTGTTTGATTGTCTCTTGTGTGGACCTTCACGAGCTCCACATCCCCATCTTCAAGAACATCCCGGACGAAGTGATAATGAACATCAATGTACTTCATCCGTGCATGGAAAACCTAATTCTTCGCTAAATAGATAGCACTCATGCTATCATAATGAATAGTGACAGATCGCTGCGAAATGCCAAGATTCTCTAAAAGTCCTCGAAGCCAAATCGCCTCCTTAACAGTCTCCATAATCGCCACATACTCTACCCTCATCGTTGACAAAGCCACCATAGACTTCAAGGTACATCTTTAACATATCGACGCACGAGTCAAAGTAAACACATATCCCGTCGTCAACCGGCGCTTATCCAAATCTCCAGTATAGTTCGAATCTACGTATCCACAATATAGTTG